GGGAGTTTCCCCAGTGTTTCCTAAATTACCCTTCGACCTTGAAGTTGACTGCCGTGTCAAACTATCGGCCGGTTACCGAGAAACTTCATCCTTCGTCGCGAAAGTGCTGACCATTTCGGGTGGGTATGGGGCGAGGGTCAAGGCGGAGGACGAGAGCAACACGGAGACCAAAGTCCTTTCCTGCGAGAAGGAAAGAGGGTGGGGATGGACCGGCCTCGAACATCGCGGGGATGCACGTGGAGAGGGATGCGACGAGGCGACTCCCCCGCCACCTCCTCCCCTGGCCGCGGGACAGGAAATTCGCGAGCTCGGACGAGGGCAGAGAAGGAGAGAAGGGAAGGTGTACGGTGGTGTCGTCGCGGGTAGCAAGAGCGCGATTCGCGCGCCTGCGCACTTTTTTCTACCAGGCGGCGGCGGCGAACCGCGTCCATCACTCTCTCTCTCTCTCTCTCTCTCTCTTGCTATCCGTCGCCACCGCCGCCGCCGCCACGAGGTCACTTCGCAACGAAACAACCTCGAGTTGTGCATCAACCTACCCGACCACTGTTGCGTGTTCGGCAGCAAGTCTCTACCAGTTGAAATTGCCCGCTGGTGATACTTTGCAATGTTCTCTTCTTCACCCATCCGCGAGTCTCGCAAAGTCGCCGATAAAAGCGAGCGAGTAACCCTCAGTATATATACAGTTGATCCCGCGTCGTTCCACCGGCGAAATTGCTACGCTGGCAACAGACACGTTCTTCACCCCGACATGCGTGCCTCGCGTCGCAAATGCGCTACCGCGACTTCAATGTCGCCCGCAAATCCGCGCGACTGTATTTCTCTCTCTCCTGCCCTCCCCCTTGCCTCCTTCGTTCTGCCCCTCTACCCCTTGGTAGTCGCGCGTTTAACGGGACGTCCATGCCATTTTGCGCGGCCAGACGAATGTAAGGGGGAGCTGTAGAGCGATATACACGTATATGCAATGTATTTATATATTTGTATTCTCGCAGTATGCCCGAGGGTTGCTCTCTCTCTCTCTCTTTCTCTCTTTCTCACGTACTGTATCTCAAGTGAGTGCGAGCACGCGGGGCGGCAGGATCCTCGCGAGATCTTTTCGGCCGACTGATAAAAAGGCACCGAAGCGCGGCCGCCTTGTCGCGATGGACGCGAGAGTGGCGTACAGTCGGACAAAAAAAAAGTGCCTGGAAGGGGAAGCTGCGGAGAGAGACTCTCGGGGCAGCGGCGGTGGCGGCGGCGACGGCGCGGTGGTGGAGGACGACGATGGTAATATCGAGGGGCAGGGGGGTCTGGGGATGAACGAGCACGTAGACGGCGTGGGTCGGGGTAAAGGGGAATCTCCACCATCTCTGACGCCGCCGCCGCCGCTGTTTGACTCTTGCGACTACTGTTGCTGATCATCATCTAGTGTCCTTGGCTCCGCTCTAGCGAGACTCTAGCTAGTTCTAGCTCGCGCAGAGCGTGCGCTCTCATTCGCTCGTTCCTCGAGAAACTCGGCTGGCTCTCCTACCACTCTTTCGTTGTGCGCCCACGGCCAGGGCTGTATCGCTCGGGGCTGCTTTGCCTTTCCCCCCTTCTTATACCCCTTCCCAATCCGATCTGTTTCTCCGTCTTTCATTTCCTCTGTCGCAAGAGAGCTTGCTGTATATGTATTGCACAAACTTGGTCATTACGCTTGTTTTGCTCGAGGGGGTTAATGTTTCGACATTTTACGAATTAATTTAGAGTGTGTATGTTTATCCATTTACCCTATATTATTTATTTCTTTTACGTATATGCATGTGTATATACAAGAGAATTTTTTATCATGAAAATACGTATATACGAGATTCTTTACATAACAACCCTATCGGCAATCTTCGGTGCCCAGAGCTACACGCGCTCGTCTAGAAGTGGGATTCTGGCCCTGACGCGTCTAGGAAGCTTAGAAACCTCGGCGAGAGTAGAAGGAATACTTAAGAGTAGGCGAGTGAGACGGTGGAAGGGAAGGGAAGTGACAGCAATGGCGTCATTGCTTGTGCGCGCGGAGGAGGAGGAGGAGGGAGAGAGGGCTGTCGTCGCGTTACCGCGGGGTGGAGGGCCGCCACGGAACGACAGGGGAATGGAGGGAATCCAAGGAGTACTACACGTGTCGCTGTAGCGCGGGGTGTTGACCCCAAATAGCTTTTTTAACGTGACGTAACCGCGAAAGGGTTGAGAAACGGCCGTGGCGACTGCCGACGCGTCTTTGCCTCGAATTTAGAAGAAAGAGAAAGAAAGAGAAATAGAGAGAGAGAGAGAGAGAGAGAGAGAGATAAGAAGAGAAGGAGAAAGAGCTCAAGCCTTCTCTTGCCAGGCCTTGCCTTGCCTTGCCTTGCCCGGCTTCTTGCCTTCCAGCACAGCTCCCCGTTATATGCACACCATGGAACGATCCTTTCGTACTTCGAAACGCACCTTCGCCGTTCTGATTGCTGGCCGAAAAACACGCCGATTTAATTTGGAGGATAGATCAATCATTTTTTTTTTACGAGTATAATCCGTCATAAATATACAAAACGTTCCATCTTTATCTCTTTTCCAATTTCTTCCACATCCCGACTTCGCTCAGGGTCTCGACAATTTTATCCAAATGTATCTCTTTTCTTTTGGTTCTTTAAAGGATTCTTAATTCTCCGGAATTGACGATGGGTCATTATATTAGAGAACTACTCAATTATAAGTCTCTTTGTCAAAAATGTCAAACAATTCAATTTTCTTTTAAATTACATCTAAGGCCCAGATTATTTTTATTAAAATATATTTCCAGGGCTGTAATAAATTTTTCATCTTAAAATTCCATTACTTTTCCAGAATATAATTTTCTCTGATTTTCAATAATATTAAAAAATTTTTTTGTATTTTCGTCCTTATTTAGAAACTGTTAAAAATTTGGTTGAAAAAACGTTAATTAATTTGAAAAAAACGTTAGTCTGATGTGCTTATTATATAGAACTTCTTTATAGTTAACATTTTAATTTTCTAGAAAATTTTACAAAATTCATTAATTTTATTCCAATTTCCCTAATCGTTTTCAATTCTTTTGATAATTCTCCTATTTTCAGTTTTGTGGCAACTCTGTTAATTTTAAATAATATTTTTATTAAAAGTAGGTTTTACAAACCCAACGTTAATAATTGTATACAAATTTTAGCGTCATCTCCGAAAGGTTAATGATATTCTTGATTCTTAATATGGTGATATAAAATTATAGACTCTTGATAAAATCGTATATGAAAGACGATATTAATCTCTAGATAGTATCTACGACAATATATCTTTGCGTAAAGACGCGTGAAGATACGGGCGAAAGTATGAAACATTCTTTCTTATTTCGGAAAGTACGATAAATAACGAATCTCTTGTCAAAGTGTCGAGAATCGCGGTGAAAATACTTCTTCGTTTCTCAAGAACCGAATAAAGAAGAAAACAAAGTAGCGCGAATGAAGTATAGCAACTGCCGAGTATTTTCACGAGTCGTCCAGCAATAT